ACGTTCTGCCAGCCCGTTTATGTCGGATAAGCGAGACTCTACTGTATGTTCAATCAAGTAATATGAGAAATTAAAGGTGCCCACCCACCACTGGAACTGGTGGATTGATGGTGGAATCGGTCCCTCTTTCTTCCTTACCACCCCTACATACATCCTTATCACCCTTACCTGCTTCTCCTGTGCTTAGTCAAGGGATTGGATGAGAATGGAAGGGTGGAGTTTTAAGGGTGGGATCTTTTGCACATTGTAGCTGTGGGAACCTTAGAACATAGCAGAATAGCATCTATTTTTTTATGTGGCCATCTTGATGCTTCTTTATAAAAATTATAACATATTGGCTTTTCAGAGGTAAACTATTGTATCTTTACATTATGTATAATGTCCTAAGTAGAAATGATCAAATAAACTATGAACAAAAATTGCCCACTGAAACAGACAAAACAAAATTTCATTAGGAGGTGTTTCTAAATCTGTTTTATCTTAGATGTAACCAAACTTTGGATGATACAATATATAAGCTATACTACTGTCACACACAAAAAAAAAAAAGCCGACAAAATAATAAAACACTTTTCTTGGCAAAAAGATGGATGAGTATTTTCATTTAGGTTTCATCTCAGTATCAAACAGCCAATGCAAATACAGGGATATTCCTAACCATTATACTGTGCCATTCAACTGATATACCGTACAAGCTGACTGGGCTATGAAAAAATGACATGCAATAATTCACTGTTGGTTAGCAAGAGCTCTTGAAGCAACAACACAGAGATTTCCATTGTAGTAATTAAGGACTTGTGATGCTAAGAATTGAGAAAACATCAACATCTCCACAAGCATGACTAGGTATATACCCATATTTATCTTGAAACCCTGGGGGGAGCGTGTGCAGGGGAAAAGACAAAATAAGTGTCACAGTGTAGGCTCTGCCACTTTTGCACACACACCTTGACATCATGGCGGAAAAGGGGTCGAGCTTGTGTCATGCTGCTGTGACACTTGTGTTGTCATTTTGACCAAATTGTCAGATTCTGTGGATCTGATTCATCTACCTGGCTGAATATTTCTGGGTGTACTCAGATTTAGTGGTGAATTCATTTAATAATTTTGCATGTGTTTTCTAATCACATGGTTGATAAATTCTTAATATCATCATCGACTATATAAACGCCTAAGCATGTCACAGATTAAAGAAAGTTTGATGATAAAATCGTGATTTCATTACATTAGGTGCAGTTATAATAATTAGATTTCTAAATGTGGAGCCAATAAAGCCTGACATCTCCACACACACGTATACACAACTCCTGAATGTTACATTTGAATGACTGAGATCAGAAAACAGGTGAAATATTGGGAGGGAGAATTTTATATATGAATTTATGGGTAGAGACGTATTTTGTGTAAATTTCAAATAAAAGCAGAACTGTGCAAATCCATAATTAGGTAAGAAAACATTGCTGTGAGCAGCAGGGAATAAAGCAATGGGAAGAAATTTTGTATATATCTGAGTATATACTGTTTCCTTGGGAAATGCTGCAATAAAATGATCTAAGAGTGCTGCTCGAACACCTCCTGTATGATGTAGCTGTAACTACTTCCAGAGAATACTAGCTGTGATCACCCTGCTTTGTAAACTCTCTATTTAAAAATATTAAGGCTCATTGCCTATAAAAGGTATATCTATACACCCCTTATGAACTTCCAGTTGCTCAGTAGGAAAGGCAATTCAGATCTGTTCCTATTCTCCAAAACCAATAATGTTTAAATTATTATTTTATGATTTTAATCCCAAACTGTGACTTGTTACACTGGTGATTAGCAAGACTTATCAGACTTTCATCTTATATCTCTTTAAAAAACAAAACAAAAATAAGCATGTGCTGTAATAATTAAAAAAAAAAAAGAATACAGCACAAAACAAAGCAAGTTAAAATTATCCATATGGAAAAGATAAGTGATCCATGATTGGAATAACGCGTGCTACTTTTTTCAGGCTTTTCTCCTGGTCGAAAAAGTCAGAGGGAAAAGAATGTTGCCTTAGTAATCTAGAGATAACATGCTACAAAAAGAGACCTTTTAAAGAACTATTTGCTCATTTTTAAATGAATACACTTGCAGCTGCAGGCATGAAATCCCTCTTGAAAACTTAAAATAAGAAATACTTGAAAATTTTCGAAGTTCTACAGAGTGGCTTTGGAATATATCATCAGGAATTTACATAATTTTACTTATAGTGGTAGGTGCATTACATATGCAAATTTATGTCTTCTGCGATGATAGGACAAAGACAAACGTTAGCAGTCAGGATTGTGGAATCAAACCCTACTCTTATCAAAGCATGAGAAATCACAAATTCCACAAAGCACAATGTTATTTTTCTAATGTATCTCTGATCTATAATGAGAAGCAATCTAACATATAGATTTTGCTTTCAATAACCCTGTCAAAAACTACATCACACATCAAACGTTAATGGCACTGGGGAGTTGGGGTGATTAATACCATAACAAATGGTATATATTACAAAATTTCTTTTGTTCTTTCCTCACAATGATGCATACAGCCAGAATTTAACCTTTAAGGGTTAAAGAGTTTAATCAATGTCAATGTCTGATCTTCTGAAGGCAATAAAGAACAGACTGTCTAGCGATACCCAACAGAACATCACTTTGTCAAGCCACAAAGCACCCAAAAGCTTGTCAAGTAAGTTACCAGAAACCTCTTTGTGGTTAGAACTCAGCTCCTTCCTGCTTGACCTATTATTTGATATTTGACCACTTGGTTGCAAGACACTTGCTCTTTCCAGCTGAAATGTCACTGGGGCATCTTGTCAGCTCCCCGACATCTCGGCCTGACATACAATTTTACTTTTGTGTGCTACAAGGCAGAAAATGCAGGGCAATGGCCTTGTTTTAAATTCTGTCAGCATCAAAGATGGGCGTCACTCTTGGGTCCTAACAACAACAACAACAAAAACAACAAAGAAAGGAGCCTATTCTGAAGGTCAGAACAGCCATTACTTTAAAGTCTTGAAACTCAGACTAAATTTATTACCTGCACTGCTGGGCTGAGAACTGCCCTTACAAAAGCACATAAACATATCATCTCCAAATCTCCCTACACAATTGTTTCTACTTTCTTATCAAACGCCGACTTGATAAAAAGAGGCCGTCAGGGACTGGATTCTGCACTTAACTTGTTCAAATGGGCAAGTGGTATCATGTAGCTTTACAAGGCGCAACCTGACCTTCTCACATTGACCAGGAGTGACATTATTGTGCAGGAGGAGAAGCAGTCACATCATTTCTGTTTTGCACAACCTGCTTAAAGTTTGCAACTAAATGCTTGTCTTCAGTTGAGCTGACAAGAGAGAAGAGGGGGCTCAGTGAACCATGGCAGGGCTGCCATGAAATGACAGGAATCATTGGCATACATTTCAAATAGCTCTCTCAATCCTATTAAAGTATTGCAGCCCTGTTTTAAAATAGACAAGTATGAAACAACTTTGATAGATAGAGACTAAAATGGCTTATTGATTTTTTTTTAAGTCTGAAGAAAATTACCCCAAATGTGTCATTCTTTAACATTTAAAAATATATTACATAAAAATGAGCTACCATGATAAATAAAAGTTTTGGGGTCTTTTTTTTTTTTTAAATGACCCTTGTACTATGCTGGGCATGTGATGTGCAGCATGTATGAACACGATCCCCACCTTCCGTGCAGTGAAGAATGTAAAATTCATGCCATAGAAATGCACAGAAAGCAAACTTCAATTCAAAGGCTAAAAACATCCTAATAAAATTGGACTTTAATTAATTCTCTTTTAGCTGCTTACAAAATGACTAGATTCTAGCATCCATTTGGCATTGCTTTTTTGGCAGACGTGAAGTGTAGGTTTGAGGAGAAAGATGATGAAATTTGAGGATGGAGTCTATTATGTGCCAAGGTAAAAGACGGATCATAATCTGATTCGGCCTTCAGTGGCAAAAAACCTGGAACACAACCTTGATCTAGCTGGGGTAAAGATCTTGACACTGTAATGGTGCTTGAAGTGTTTCGTGAATCCTGGAAAAAAATAATAAAAGAATAAACACATTTGCCATGAATCAGTTCATAAAAACAGCAGGTATTACTTCTAGAATGTATACAGGTAGTCCTCATTTAGCAACTGCCTCGTTTAGCGATTGTTTGCAGTTATGACGGTGATGAAAAAGTGACTTTACGACCAATTCTCACATTTATGACCTTCTCAGGTCTGTAAAACAGAGGAAAGCTGAAGTATGATTGTAAGCACAGCTGGGGTTTCACCTAGCAACTACTTTGCTTAATGACCTAGTTGCCGGTCCCAATTGTGGTTGCTAAATGAGGACTACATGTAATATGCATAACTTTAAGTCCCACTGATTTCAAAGTGATTTAAGTATACTGTATGTATCTATGGATTGCACTCATTAATAACTTCTAAAAGTGCAGTTAATTCTTTGGCTTGTATGATGCTTTAAGGACATATTTTTGATTACCCCTTCTTTTTTAAGATTTGAATACAGTTACAAAGTCTGCTTTCATGCATAAGTTTACAATTATTTGCGCTTCTGATTACATGGATTTGTTATATTTAAAGTAAGTTTACAAACAGTAAATAAAAACAAAAGTGTTCACTAAAACCTTGAAAAGAGGAGGAGATGGTCCTGAGCTTTAAATATTTGCCAGTTAATATTATTTATACCATCCTTTGTCTGGAGTATTTTAAAAGTAGTCAATACTTATATTTTGCCTTCCACAAGAACAGTCCTGGGTATTGGTAAACTAATGTTCCATGCATGTTAAAAGAAATTATTTGCAAACTAAATTCTTGTTTAGAAATATCTAGAAACCCAGGCAAACTTTCCAAATTGTATACTAAGGCTGTTTGAACCCAGTAGGGCTATGTGACTTTAAAACACATAATCTCAATCAAATATACACACACACAAGGATATAAAATAAGCCAGTCACAATGTACTATTGTCAGAATGCCAAGGCATACATTTGGTGGACTAAATAAATAAGTAAAGTTGCTATGTATAAGGCAGTATTTGGAATTTCACTACTGTGAATTCGAGGGGCTTTTCTTTTCTTTTTTAGAGCTTTTCCCTCCCCAGTTCTATTACTGTTACTGGGAAGGGGGGGGGGGATCAATGGCTATATCTAACACATAATTCAGCAATTTTCTTTGATGTTGGCTCTTTGTTTTCCTGGTATTACAGAAGGTATCTTGGAGCTGAGTGAAAAGTTGGACCTTTAAGAACCACCCATATGGCAGCAATTTCAAAAGGTTACCCCAAGGAGATATTTTAAAAGTAGTCATACTTTCAGTTCTGCAATGAATTTCAGTTCTAAAAATGAATTGGTAGACAGAACATAAAAATGCAGTCTTCAGGACTACTGGGTTTTAGTCCAACAGTTCCCAGCTGTGATACGCTCATTAAAATCAAGTATTTGCACATCTATTATTGTTAATTTAGCAAGTTATACATTTATCAGAATATTTAAACACAATATCATGGAAACAATAAAAAGATCGGGATGTCTTCATTTACTTCAAGTGAAATATGATCTTTTGTAAAAATGTGTGCTGTATTTTAAATGATGCTGCAGAACAAGAATCAGGCTAAATGTCTTGCTTAAGCATCAATAAATAGTGGAAGCTAAAGGGCAGCTAAATTTGCATGTTGGTTAGCACTATTGTCTCTCTCCAAATCAGCTTGTGATCTTCCTGGTTAAGACATTTTTGCTGCTCACATTTTCTTCTCCTCAAAAACCAGCCATTTTTTTAAGAAACAAAAAAGAAAAAAAGAAAAAAAAAGGAGAGAAGGAAGAAAACATCCGCAAAAGCCCCAAGGAGGGGAGAGGTTAAAAAAAAAAAGCAGGTTTCCTCGGGGAACTGCGTTCAACAAAAGTATGAAACGTAATGATTGGCAGCTAGTCAACAGACTGTTATAGTAAAAGACTTCAGTGCTTGGTGGAGGTGATGTTGGCAGGGAGGGGGTAGCTGAGTTTCCATTCTCTGGCCAAGTTACTTCTCCTAGGTAGCTCAGGTAGAACAAGAACCAACAAATGGAATGGAAATCAGGGCTATCCATGGCCTTGACTGCTATTAGTTCTCAACCTCCACATATAAAGGGTTGGTGGAGGGTGGAATCCCTGAAAAATGTTGCCTACACTGGTTAAACTCAAGAAACGCAGCTTTGGACTAAAGTGGATTATTTCTTCAGTAATCCCAGTTTCCTTTGCTATTTGGCATTGCACAGGACCGGTGCACTTAGATTAGCTGTAGAGAAGCATCCATGACAGGCAAAATGGTTAATATGCTCAGATGGTAAACAACTTTCACAGAGACAATTGCCTTTACTGATAAACAGTCTCCAAGGATAATATTAGAGCAAATACTGTAGAGCAGCCTCTTTAAAACAAAACAAAAAAACTTATGTTGAGTACCTTACCCTGGCTTGTAATGAACTTCTAGGGTTCTTTAAAAGGTTGCCTGAAAGGAGCACAGAGGGAACTTTTTTTTTTAACAGATCCTTAGAACCTTCTCTGCATTTGCTGTCTGGGAACTGCAATTCCCAGACTTTGCAGTCATCGTATCCAAAGGGAATTTAGGAGTTGGTCTCAAGACATCTGGAGGAACCAGATTAAGAATGCTGGCACATCATCTTGAATATTCCTTGTTTTGTTTTTGTTTAGGGTGTGCATGTGTTACAATACGTCATTCTCATTAAGCATCTATTCAAGATCTCAGGCATTTCCTGGTTTCATAGAGTAATAATTCCAAGTGAGTTCACCGTAATATAGCTCTAAAAGTTACAACTGCAATGCTGGTGACAGGAGGTTTTCTTCCTCTTCTTTCACAGGTTTGGTTTGCATTGCTTGGGTTAAGCTAGCCCTAAACTTCCTTCTAATGAATGTCCTTTCTCACGGCTTTCTGCTAATTTACTTCCAGAGCTGTTTATCCAGTTGCTATCTTTATTTCAATTGCTGGGGCTGGCAGGAGGAGTATTTGAATGAAAAGAGATTGTGTGCCCAACAGTGGCCTGCTTGCAGAACCCCTGGCAAAAGATTCATTTGTGAAGGATCTGAAGAGGAAACGTTTTGCTGCCCAGACCATTAATCAGCCGCTTTAATAGCCAGACTCCAGATCCCTTTACAGAGATGTTTGTCCATCTAGTGCCCTTCCAGCAGCCTAATTTTTGTCAGGGACTTGGAGGCTGATGTAGGTCCCCCGCTTTGGAAGGAAGAGTAAGGGGGAGAGTGGAGTGAGAACAAAAGATGGCATTTACATTCACTTTGCCAAACATTAGCATCTTTTTGTCCAATCATTTGAATTCAGAAGGGTTAGGAGAAAACAGCTTAGAGAACAAGGGTTGACACATCCAGTGTGAAATCTTAAGGTGCTGGAATGCAATGAGGGAGAAAGTGAGACCGAACCACATTTCAACTCCCTAACTGTGCTGCAGCATGCGTGAACTTTGTGACAGGTCTCTGTCTCTCAGCCACAGTTGAATAGCTCTTGCTGACACTCAGCTGTCAGATAGCATCCCTTTACTATGCCCCTAACATGCTCTACAGCTTCACCCAATTAACTTGCTTTCACTTGACATTGCAGCAAAGAGCTTCATAATAGGTGGTCAAGGTGCAACGGTGCCTGCTTGCCCTCTCCCTGTTCATAAACGGCAAGATGTTTAACTATCTTCCTTTCTGCCAGTTTGCTCAGAAGCAATATGACAGTGATGCACGTACTAAAGTGGGCAAGCAGAGCAGGGTGGCTTCAAAGCCACATTGTTGGAGCTTCATTGTAAAGAAAGCTCCCCCTCCCCCACACCAAAAGCAGGAACCCTAAACCATCAGAAGAATTTGATTAAAAATAAAGCTTATTGAAAGCTTTGCTGAGAATTGGAAAAAGACATGGCGGGATGGGGAGAAGGGTCAAAATAATTATTTCCCAGAATCATGTTTTAGGTTAGTGAAAAAAAGTTAGATGTATTTATACCTTTATGTTTCAGCCTTCTTACACTGGAAAAATCAGCAGGCATTTAAATAATGAATGTTATTACATGTGCCATTGTAAGTAAAAATAATAGGCATCACTAAAATATGTATCAAAGAAAGTAAATGTAGAACATCAGGGAAATATATAATATTCAATAATTCAAATAGCATCTTTTAAATGGATATCATTAAGATATTTAATTTTTTTCCCGATTGCCTAGATAATTCTCCCTCTCCCCCCTCAACACACACACTTTTAAAAAAAAAATTCAGATTCATGCAAATAATGTTGTATCCTATGGAATACCAGGAACTGAAGTACAGATCCATACATTAAGAAAGCTATAATAATAGAGATAATACATACCTATGGCAGTATGATACACATAAGATTGTAGTTAGACAAGATATTAAAAATAAATTTTTTATTTAACAAATTAAAAATGCATATTCTGAGAGTTTTACTAGGATAAGATTTTAAAAAGATTCAAGCTGCTGTGTGATTTAGGGGTTTGGAGAGGGGGAGAAGGAAGGGCAAGAATTGTATATTCATTACAATGGATTATCATAATCAATCAGCATGGATGCACACCTATCACCTCTATGGGAGAACCTGTGTAGCTGGGTTTTTTTTAATGTAGCAAAGATACCTATGTCACACTGTTCTACTGACAGATTCAAAAAGGGCAGATCTATTTTATTGTATTCATTTATCAAATTTATATGACCACCTATCTCACAAATGTGAATCTATTACATTCATCCCTCCAAAACAAAAATAAGTATCATGGTGTATGTAAAGCGTAGTACAGCCAAACTGCAATATACAGCTTAGTTCCTTTTCAAAACTTTGATTCTAGTCAATGAACTGGTTCCACAGGAAGTGGGTTCTGAGTTGCAGACATATTCAAAACACTTTTCTGCCCCTGTTGTAGGTTATCTATAGGTTATCATCCCATGCTCATCTAAGCCACCAAATCTAGTTTCTTTGTTCAAACTAGCAGTGTTTAACACTTTCATAATAGAACTGTGCCACC